CACAAAAGCAAGAAGAAAAAAGCCGGAAGTGGTGCTGTGGCTCAAGTGGTAGAGCACTAGCCTTGAGCTGAAGAGCTGAGGGACAGCGCTCAGGCCCAGCGTTCAGGCCCCATGACCGGACCCCAAAAAAAATTTAAAAAAAAAAAGAAAAAGTTCAGTGATAGTGCCCAAGTCCAGAATTCAAGCTCTATTTGTGCTGACAAATAGAAAAAAAAATATCAAAAAACAAAAAAAGTGTAATTTAAGACTAGCTAGGATTAGGAAAGATAAATACCAAGTTATAGTAAAAAATAAAGCAGGGCTGGGAAGGTGGCTCAGTGGTAGAGCGCTTGCCTTACATGCATGAGGCCCTGGGTTTGATTCCTTAGTACCATATAAGCAGAAAAAGCCAGAAGTGGTGCTGTGGCTAAGTGGTAGAGTGCTAGCCTTGAACTGAAGAGCTGAGGAACAGCACCCAGGCCCAGAGTTGAAGCCCTATAACCAACAACAACAACAAAAAAAGCAGTTACTGGGCTGGGAAGGTGACTCAGTGGTAGAGTGCTTGCCTTGCATGCCTGAGGCCCTGGGTTCAATTCCTGAGCACCACATAAGCAAAAAAGAAAAAAGCCGTGGCTCAAGTGGTAGAGCACTTGCCTTGAGCTGAAGAGCTGAGGGACAGTGCCCAGGCCCAGAGTTCAGGCCCCACGACCAGACACCACCACCACCACCCCAAAAAAAAAAAAAAACAAGTTACTAATTAAGGATTTTTTTACAAATCTCTTTTTTGTGCTTTGGGTTACATGGGATCTGGCCGTGAGTATAACAGCATGAGCAAGCCCTGCAGCCCATGGGGAGGATGGATCTTTATTTTTATCTAATGTTTACCACGAGCCTCTCTGCCTTGGACCCCAGGACCCCCCTCTGATGTTCAGTGAGGAGTACCAGAAGGGCCTGCTGCAGCAGTATCATTTGGTTCTGGACCAGAAACGCAAAGAGTACGTGGTTGGAGAGCTCATCTGGAATTTCGCTGATTTCATGACTAACCAGTGTAAGTGGCTGCTTGGCTCAGGAATAAACTATTTCTGAGCTTTTTCAGTTCTGGGCACTTGGAGTACTGGAAACAAAAGGAGCACTGGGTTAATCATTGTAGGCTATAGAGTATTTCCTGGGAAAAGTAAATTGTTTTTAGCAACAGGAAAGCCCTTTTGTGCTAGCCATTTTTTGGTTAAAAAACATTTGGAGGGCTGGGAATGTGGCTTAGTGGTAGAGTGCTTGCCTAGCATGCATGAAGCCCCAAGTTCCATTCCTCAGTACCACACAAGCAGAAAATGTCAGAAGTAGTGCTGCGGCTCAAGTGATAGAGTCTTAGTCTTGAGCAAAAGGAGCTCAAGAATAGTGCTCAGGCCCTGAGTTCAAGCCCCAGAACTGGCAAAAAAAAAAACAAAAAGAAAAAAGCAATTGGAACTTGTTGCTGGTACCTCATGCCTGTAAACCTAGCTACTCAAGAGGCTGAGATTTTAGGTTTGTGGTTCAAAGCCAGCCAGTGCAGGAAAGTCCATGACACTTTTGTTGTTGTTGGTTGTGAGTATTGAACTCTGGGCCTGAGCGCTGTCTCTGAGCTCTTTAGTTCAAGGTGAACACTCTATCATTTGAGCCACAGTGTCACTTCTGGTTTTCTGGTGGTTAATTGGAGAGAAGAATCTCATAGACTTTCCTGCCCAGGCTGGCTTTGAACTGTGATCCTCAGATCTCAGCCTCCTGAGTAGCTAGGAGTACAGGCGTGAGCCACTGGTACCTGGCTCCATGAGACTTATCTCCAATAATTACCTAAAAGTCAGAAGTGGAGCTGTGTTCAAGTGGTATAGCATTGAGCAAAAAATCTCAGGGACTGCACCAAAGTCATCCCAGGCAGAAAATCTTATCTCTGGTTAAACAGCAAAAAGCTGGAAGTAGAGATGTGGCCCGAGTGGTAGAGCACCAGTTTCCAAGGAAAAAGCCAAATGACAGTGTGAGACCCTGAGTTCAAGCCCCAGTACCCGCACAGACAAAAAAAGGCAGTTGGAGCTGGGTATTGTTGGGCATGCCTGTAATCCCAGCTGTTCAGGAGGTGGAGGTAGAAGATCACAAATTCAAAATTAACCTAGGCAAAACCAAAACTTGGGAGGTATAGTTCAAGAGGTAGAGCACTTGCCCAATAAGGCCCCTATTTAACCAGTGAACCAAACAAATCCAGAAAATCTTTTTGGTCTTTGAGGCAGGGTCTCAGCATGCAGCCTAGGCTAATCTAGAACTCCTCATGTATCCCAGCATGGGATATCCCAGCGTGGGATACATGACTCTCAATGCTGCTTCTGCTTTCTGAGCGTCCAGCCTTCCATGCCAGGGAAGCGGTGAGCTGGCTTTGATGTTGCACAACAGCCAGGGAAACCTGGTTTTGTCACACAGCCATTATCTCAGAGAAGGGCCCTCGGCTTGGGAAGAGGGAGGCAATTACTGACTTATAAGCAGCCGGTAAGTTTTGAAGCCCTCAGGGGGTGAGAGTGTTGAAAAGGCTTCTGAGGACGCAGAAGTGGTGAAGCTGGGCCACCTCATCCATGCGCCCATGTGTTTCCCGCTCTTCGCAGACAGCCTGGGGAAAGGACGGGAGCGGTGGAGATGGTGCTGCCTTCTTTGGGGACAGACGCTAACTAGAGAATAGAAAGGAGGGAGATAACTGAGCAGACAAGGCAGGCTGAGAAGAGCTGGGGAGTGGGCAGGGACACTGTGCTGTTCATGGCGGCTGTGACCTTCGCTTTTTACCTCTCCACTCTAAGGCTTGGCTTTCATTTCTGTTTGGTGAAGTACCTGGCAGTGTTAGGTATTCACTTGCTGTTTTTTTTGGGAGGGGGGGTATAGCCCTGTTTTCTTTTTTTGTCGATTGT